TTTACACATGTGGAGTAGATTTTTGGCCGAATGAAATGGGATCTCTTTGTTCATTCCCCCACTTTCAGAGCACTCACCTTCAATTCACACAGACGCAGCAGCACACACAGGGTTCACTGCCATTTTTGGCAACCACTGATTTAGGGATGACTTGCCCACTGGCAACACATGGGGTCATCTTTGGACCGGCAAGGCAGTTAAATGCTATTCTGACAACTCCGCAGCCTGCGACATCATTAACAAAGTGTGTTTTCTTCAAATCCTCTTTTGCCCTCTTTTTATTACAGGCCTACTCGTACGTTGGTTTCGGCACACCTCAACCAACTTTGCTTCTCCTTATACATTCCATTACGTATTAGAAATTCCGAGCACAAGTTGGAAGGCCATTTGGCCTGAATTTGTGGGAGGAGTTATGACCCCTATTTAAACTCCTTCCCCCTACTTACCTTTGTCGTGCAAGCTGTTTGTCCCCACCCACTTATACCCATCTATATTTCCAATCCACCTTTGTGGGCACTCTTTTTATTACAGGCCTAATCATACGTTGGTTTCGGCACACCTCAACCTACTTTGCTTCTCCTTCTACATTCCATTACGTACTAGATAAATTCCGAGCACAAGTTAGAAAGCCATTTGGCCTGAGTTTGTGGGAGGAGTTATGAACCCTATTTAAACTCCTTCCCCCTACTTACCTTTGTCATGCAAGCTGTTTGTCCCCACCTACCTAAACCCATCTATATTTACAATCCACCTTTGTGGGCCCTCTTTTTATTACAGGTCTACTCGTACATTGGTTTCGGCACACCTCAACCAACTTTGCTTCTCCTTCTACATTCCATTACGTATTGGAAATTCCGAGCACAAGTTGGAAGGCCATTTGGCCTGAATTTGTGGGAGGAGTTATGACCCCTATTTAAACTCCTTCCCCCTACTTACCTTTGTCATGCAAGATGTTTGTCCCCACCCACCTACACCCATCTATATTTACAATCCACCTTTGTGGGCCCTCTTTTTATTACAGGCCTACTCGTACGTTGGTTTTGGCACACCTCAACCAACTTTGCTTCTCCTTCTACATTCCATTACGTATTAGATATTCTGAGCACAAATATATATATATATATATATATATTCATGTTGGCAGCAAAGGAAATTAAGTGTACATATGTTGTCTATATAGACATATGGATCAGCTTCCATATTATAAGGAGAGTGTACTTATTGAAGCTCTTATCTTCTACAGCACATAGCCTCTTTTTATTACCCTTATGGTTAATCGCCCAGGAATACCACGCATCAGTACTGGCATAAACTATTTGAGCTGGTTATGAACTGTTTTCATACTCACGTATATTCATCATTAATATTAATATATAAGTTTGGTTAAGATGGTTATTCTGGTCAGTATCATATTACTCTACTCACTTCTGTACTGAATTAAGGCTAGTATTTTCAGAGATTCCCCTAGGTATTACTTTATGTTTTTTTTTTTCAGGTTCAGGTTGGCTTATATCACCTGCGTTTTGTTCACTCAAACCTCTAAATATCACTTTCCAGTGAGTAAGGTGTAGGGTAAGGTGTTTTTACTCTCAGCACTTAAGGGGGAGTCCTTTGTTACTCTGTATAACATATACCCCCCTTTTTGCTATCATTAGGTTAAACCTCTCTTCCACTATAGTAGTGGTTGTAGTCTCTGGTTTTGTGTTGGGTTGTGACCAATTTCTGACCTAACCAACAAGCAAGTGGGTGTCAGATACATTTTGCCTAAACCCCCACTCCCCCAACTCCCCCTCCTTCCCCTCAAGGTTATTAGTTGAGTGTTACTGGCTTATCAAATCTAGGCTGCCATTAGTAAAATTTTCTGGCCTCTTCACCTCAGTCACAGTGGTCTCGCGAGGCCAACCGCTTTCCTCCACGCTTGAGGATATTCACCCCTCGGCCAAATCATAGTTAGCTGCCTCACATGGTTGCATAGAGAGGGCCTCCCTTGTCACTCCCTTTCTATCTTATGCTTTTAGTTGTCATCGAGAGGCCAACACCCCGCCACAACATTTTGGTGGCAGCATTTTCCCTTGCACCAGTTGGTAGATAGAGCCTCTCAAGCCACTTGGCACTTAGTAGGGCCTCACCTGTCACCACACCTAGGAAATTGTTTCGCCACTAGTTAGCCAGCCAGTAACCAATATGGTACAGTTGCTGATTGTGTTATGATTATTTTTTTTTTTAGTATGTCTCAGCTACCTGAAGATACAGACAATTTGTCTCTCCCCAGTACCCCAGTAAGGTCCTTGAGACCTTCACAAAAAGGCAACATCGGTAGCCCAATTTCTATATGATCATGGACCATCCCTCGTATTACTGCGGAGCTTCCTAGATGCAGTATACCTTTTCCTGCTACAGCCAGGAAAGCAGAATTGTTCAAGCTAATGCCGATAACTCAGGGGTGGGAGAGGGGACAAGTGGTCCAGGCAACTCAGACCTTCATGCCATGGTTGCCTCACTAGTAGCATCTATGGGCAAGGTTAATGATCGACTTCATTGGATCGAGCCTGTTATGTCATGTATGCCCTCAGCTACTTTACTTTCCGAAGCTCCACTAGTACTGAAATATATTTTATGAACTATTAAATATTTAATGTGTTGATATAAATATTATAAGTTTTATTCAGATTACTTCCAGAACACTGAAACTGAGAAGCCATACCTAGGCCTATGGTATTACAGATAATATAACAACCTTAGTTGATATAGATATTCCAGGAGCTGATCCACCTAAAATGGCTTTGGGTGTGCCTGTTATATAAATCAAAATATATTAAAAGATGTGTAGATATACACCTAAAATGTGGTGGTGTAGAAATTTACTCAGATAAACTCCAATACTTTCTAAAAGGGACTGGAAAAAAGTGCAACAGTAATGTGTGGTGTATACGCCTTTAAATCTGCTATAGGCAGAATGAATAGAATAAACACCAAATATTATACTTCACATATAACTAAAGGGAAATTGAGAAACAGTATATAGAACTGTTCTCTCTACTAATGAGAGATAAGATGAAAAAAATGATTCACATAGATTTCTCTGTGCAATATAACCATATATGGTGTCTATGCCTTTAAGTCTATTAAAAAATAGACAAAATAGAGCATACACCAAAATAGTGTACTTTTAGGAAAGGTATAAACCATAAAATAGGAATACAGTATTGAAGACTGATCCTATATTGCAATAAAATTTAATATCACTTTAAAAATAACCACGTAAAAAGATAAATAATAAGTCAAATTTATTAATAAGAAATACTCAAAGAGTAATTAAAAAAAATATAATAAATGAATAAACTGATTAAAATACAAAAATATAAGCCAGGAATGAAAAGCAAGATTATTACCAGCACAATTGTAGTCCTTGTTTGTAATTTGTATCTGGGACCTGCCAGGATGGATGTGGATACTTTGTGTCACAAAAGTTTCCTCTGGCTGTCGGCTTGTCGGTGAGGTTAGCGTGCGTCTCAGACCTCACTCTGAGAACTGTACGCTGCAGCCCGATCGGTCCCCAACTTGTGAGAGCTTTCTTCGATGCACCCAAGGTCCTACTGCTGGGTTGAAGTCTGCCACCGTATCCTGCTTGAGATCTGACGCGTTTCGTGGGTGTCCGCCCCACTTCTTCAGAGATAGAATGGTGTTCCGTGGTTGAGCGATGATTTAAATATATGTCTAATTGATTGATCCTAATTAGTATACATGATGACTATTGCATATAATAAATACAATGATTGAATAAAACTGAGTGTTTAGGAGGATATATTGCACTAACGGTTTTGAAAGAATAAAAATACACAAATAGAAAATAAAAATAAAGATGGAAATAAAAATAAGAACAAAGATAGAAAATAAAATAAAATATAATATATATTATAAAAATCAATTGCAATTAACTGTACATCCAATTAATTAGTTAATTTAAACTCAATATCTCAATATCTCAATATCTCTTTGGGAGCAATTGCACTTATTCACTAACAATCAAGGTTCAATATACCGCACTTAATTAGTCAATTTGAACAATCCTCATGGGTTTCTATATTTTACTGTCCCATGTATATATTTGGGATACACTAACTATACACGTAGTCACATATATCACTAGTAAGTTAGTTCTCCAATACATCCTTGCTTTCTAGCTAGTTTACACCAATTAAGTCTATATCATCATATTAGTATATCCCAATATTTAGACACAAATATCACTGACTGTATATTCATGTATTTTTCCCCATCTTCTTCTTTATTATCATTCACTTTTTTCCCTTTTAATCATCCTCTCCATTTATTCTTTTACTCTTTTACTGTTGCACATGCTCCTTGCAGGTATGGAATACAACCAAATAATGAGACCTCTAATAACAAGATATTGATTTTACAGTACTATCTATCTATATGAATTCATCATACTTACAGATTATTATTGTATATAAACTGCATTCTTCTGCACATTTTATAATAATATTAGAAGAATTATGCAATGTTATGGGACAATAATAATTGCTTTTTACTTAGATCTTGTCATTTTAGCTTATCTTAGACATGGATTGTATATATATCGACTTTTAACAATTTGTTTGCAGACTTTTGATGTAACAAATCTTCGGATTATGCCTTTCAATTATACTTTCACACTGTCTTTTTAAATTAACTAATTAATTGGATGTACAGTTAATTGCAATTGATTTTTATAATATATATTATATTTTATTTTATTTTCTATCTTTGTTCTTATTTTTATTTCCATCTTTATTTTTATTTTCTATTTGTGTATTTTTATTCTTTCAAAACCATTAGTGCAATATATCCTCCTAAACACTCAGTTTTATTCAATCATTGTATTTATTATATGCAATAGTCATCATGTATACTAATTAGGATCAATCAATTAAACATATATTTAAATCATCGCTCAACCATCTCTGAAGAAGTGGGGCGGACACCCACGAAACGCGTCAGATCTCAAGCAGGATACGGTGGCAGACTTCAACCCAGCAGTAGGACCTTGGGTGCATCGAAGAAAGCTCTCACAAGTTGGGGACCGATCGGGCTGCAGCGTACAGTTCTCAGAGTGAGGTCTGAGACGCACGCTAACCTCACCGACAAGCCGACAGCCAGAGGAAACTTTTGTGACACAAAGTATCCACATCCATCCTGGCCGGTCCCAGATACAAATTACAAACAAGGACTACAATTGTGCTGGTAATAGTCTTGCTTTTCATTCCTGGCTTATATTTTTGTATTTTAATCAGTTTATTCATTTATTATATTTTTTTAATTACTCTTTGAGTATTTCTTATTAATAAATTTGACTTATTATTTATGTTTTTACGTGGTTATTTTTAAAGCGATATTACATTTTATTGTGATATAGGATCAGTCTTCAATACTGTATTCCTATTTTATGGTTTATACCTTTCCTAAAAGTACACTATTTTGGTGCATGCTCTATTTTGGCTATTTTTTAATAGACTTAAAGGCATAGACACCATATATGGTTATATTGCACAGAGAAATCTATGTGAATCATTTTTTTCATCTTATCTCTCATTAGTAGAGAGAACAGTTCTATATACTGTTTCTCAATTTCCCTTTAGTTATATGTGAAGTATAATATTTGGTGTTTATTCCATTCATTCTGCCTATAGCAGATTTAAAGGCGTATACACCACACATTACTGTTGCACTTTTTTCCAGTCCCTTTTAGAAAGTATTGGAGTTTATCTGAGTAAATTTCTACACTACCACATTTTAGGTGTATATTTACACATCTTTTAATACATTTTGATTTATATAACAGGCACAAGAACATCCAAAGCCATTTTAGGTGGATCAGCTCCTGGAATATCTATATCAACTAAGGTTGTTATATCATCTTTCATTACAAATTTTCCAAGACAGGTCTTTGGTGAACTCCTGTGTCTATCCAGTTTTGAGCAATCCATCCAAGTCCGATTCCCTCACACCTGTGTGTTGCATTAGGCATACCAGTTAATTCTATTTTCCTATAGTATTGCAGACTTTCATTGTATAGGAATGGAGACCACATCTGGTTCACTTTAAGAGTGATAGATGAAGGGCCTGTTTATAGTAAACTTTGACCTAAGCTTTGCTAGCCAGTCTCCCTCTGTATAACCAAGGCTCATATTTCTAAAGGCATCTATTAATTTACCATGCATATATAACTTCTTTGTGTAGCTTACCGCCAAAAATATAACGTATGGCTTTAATCATAGATTTCAAATGATGCTAAGTCACTCCCCTCTTTCTAAGATAGCCACTTATTTTAAAGTAAGGCAATCTTACGCCCCTCTGTAACTGAATTTTAAACCTATAAAACTGATTGTAGCTTAGAATTCGTGGCCAATACCTCTAACATCAAAAATGGATAACATCTGGAACATTGCTCTGAATTGGACAAAGACTGTTGATGGCTTATTACCGGATGATGTGTATGTTTGAATAAACATAAGTTTTAACTGCAAGATACTTGATTCGATTTGTTAAGAATACTGGTATGTGACAAACAAACATCTCAAGGAATGCCAATTTCCTACAAGTACAAATGGGTAATTACTTGCCTTCAGGTTCCGAAACCCACATTATTAATCCAGTACATATGGTTCCTGCAAACATTATGAAAGACTTCTTGGAGAGGAAGGATGTTAAATTTGTTACACTTCTTAATGCTTCACACAATGTCAGTGAGAACCGCACTTATGCTTATACGCCCCTCTGTAACTGAATTTTAAACCTATAAAACTGATTGTAGCTTAGAATTTGTGGCCTATACCTTTAACATCAAAAATGGATAACATCTGGAACATTCCTCTGTATTGGACAAAGACTGTTAATGACTTACGTTATTACCAGATGATGTGTATGTTTGAATAAACATAAGTTTTAACTGCAAGAAACTTGATTTGATTTGATAAGAAAACTGGTATATGACAAACAAACATCTCAAGGAATGCCAATTTCCTACATTTAATGGTGGAGAATGCGGGCAAACTTTTGATTTAAGTCTGAATTATTACTGACTTAATATTTAAGTGTTCCGCTACAAGCTACAAGAAGACAAGAAGATAAGAAAATCACTGAAGAAAAGTTGAAATTGTTCCCTGAAGAAAAAGCTTTGGTACCCGGCTTGAAACAGGAGAAACACAATTGGCTGATACAGCAGGATGGCATCCCAAAGATCCTTTGTTTAAACATTGAGCTTTACTATGCGAAGACAGAGTTGAGCAGGGTGAAAAATCATTCGAACGTGGAAGTTTATGCCCAGTACTGGAGAAAGAATTTAAAGATAATAATTGAGATGGACAATCCGGGTCCTTTTATCCATACTTTATTTATGAAGAAATAAAAGTTATGACGAATTGCAGATCGAAGATGGCATTTCGGAGGATTCTCAAGAAATAACTACGTACTCCAAAAAGTATTCTTCCATCTGATGATGCGCACATCTGTGGAAACCAAATACTTCAAGGGTGTGTGTCTTTAACATGTCTGTAGAAGTTGCTCATATGTATATTGTTGTTGTTAAACAAATTGCATTAACTGTTTAGTTAATTATGGATTGGCAGTAAAAGACTGCTGCCAAATGTACAGGATGTGTCTGTAAAAAAGTTAATCCTGAAAATGCTATTGTGTATTGAAATGGTTAGACAGATTAACTGGTATTGAGCAAAGCAATGTGTTTAAAAGGGAAAGAAAAAGTTGCATTACTGGCAAAGGGCTTTCTGGAAACTAATGATTCTATAAAGGAATGGTCAAATTAAAAAGACCAGTAATTGTTATGTTAGTAATACATCGAAACAAAAAAGAAATGTGTTGTTAAAAACTATTGAAAAATATATGTGTTGTTGCAAGGTCTAGTAATTTACCTAGCCTCTAGCTAAACTGTAAATCTCCTTAAAAGTGTTAAAAGAAGAAAATCGCCCCCCATGGCTCTCTTTTGAGAGTGCATTGGATGCAACATTAGTTGAAACAAAAACTCAGACTCTCGGCAATTGTTGAAAGGATTAAGTAATGTCAAGGAAATTAAGATTTTAATATAATGAAAGAAATGCTTAAGAATCAGACTGATCTGTTAGACCGGACCCATAAAACAATGTCTCACATGTCTAAGATTAGACTTTGTTACTAATTTTGACAATTTGCAGAGAAAAATTGCAAGTCTGGGGAATGTTAAAGATATTTAATGGAAAAATCGGAAATATTTGGTTTTAGTTTGAAAGTGGAAATTGATTATGATATGGTGCGGAGGTAGTGTGAAAACGGGCAGGAGAGAAGAAAATATATAGAAAAATTGGGAAATTGTGCAAGGAAAATGGTCAGATGGACACTCTCAGATTAGCCAGATTGATTAAAAATGTGTCTAAATATGATGAGCAGAGAGGACATTTTTACAATATGAGTGTTTTTGAAGGTGAAATGAATAAAAGAAAATTTAGTGATGTGGTAGCCACCAGATGTCGTTTGATCTGGCTGCCAGCCTCATTAAGTGAATGGGTTAAAAATTAACTCATTGATGTGTTGGAGGAAAAGGAATGTGAAAAGCCCAGAGTTTAGTTAGAGGAATTGTTTCCAAATATATTGCTAATGGTTGTAAAGTGTGCAACTGGTTTGGATAGTTTTGAATTTTCTAGTCTTGATTAATTTAAAATGGAGAAAATTAGGATATACATGTTTGTGCTAAATTTACGGAATTAGGCATGGAATTTGATTAATGATACAAAACAGTCTGCTATGTCTAAAGAGTAACATAGGCAGAGTGTTAGTGAATTTGTCTCTAGAATATCCGGGTTACCAAATGAGATAAATTAAGAGATTTTGCTGCCATGGAAATGATGAAATCCTTGCAATTGTTAAAAAGGAAAAACACAGTAATAGCTCAAATGTTGCACAGACAAACTTTTGTCTAGGGATACTTCAGCAGGACTGGCCCCTATTAAAATTGTTCCTAGTGAAGAAGGTAGAAGGAGAAATGAGGTTAATAATTGAATATGGTAATTTTAGAGGGAGGTCTAAGAAAAGACCACAAAAGTAACAAAATTACCAGGGTACTAAAAACTATTCGGCCACACCCCAAGTTAGATAGTATAGGGTTTTATTAGAGTAATTCTATGGTATGCTATAATTACAACCAAGAAGGTCATGTTAGGAGATATTGTCCAAAATATGTAGAAAAAAACTTACCTAGTGAAAGAAAATGGAATTTCCCAGACAATAAGAATCTACAGAGAGTGGCAGCTGTAGAAACAGAGCATACATCTTCAACCAACTCCCCCTCACATCAAATTAACGTGAAAAGTGTATACTGATGTTAAATGCCATTGAAAGAAAGGTGGGAGCAATCACAAGTCCACAAGTGAAATCTGCCTAAACCCACCAATAAATAGGGATGTGTAGCCCCTAGTTATTATCAGATCTATCTTGCTGATATAACTAAGTGAAGATGGGCGACCATACATTTATGGAAGACTAGAGGGAAATATAACAGAGTTTATTAGAAACATGAGCAGCAGTGTCTCTAATAACACATGCTTGCCTTTAAAAATTTAAGCAAATCAACAAATCCCTTCCAAGTTTAAATGGAACACATGCACATGCAACTCTATCCACTGATAATGTATTAATGAAAAAAAAAAAAGTTGTATGTGGATTTATTAAATTTGGTTTTATGGCAAGCTCCAGGTGAGAGCAAAACAGGTTGAGTGGTTAAACCTACTGATTTAAGATAGTTTAGTCATGATATGACTGTAAAGCAGAGTGAAGTGTCACCTGCTATACAACAAGATGATGAGGTTGTACCATATCTTAATATTAAATACCCCACAGTGTGCTCTAAGTCTAAACAAGATTGTGGGAGAGGGAATTTGCAAGTTGTAATTGTAGTTCTAGACCCCCTGCAGTAAAACAATATAAGATCCCAAAGAATCAGAAGAAGGTGTAAGTCAGGTAATAAAAGCATTGGTATCTCAAAGAGTGTTGAGTGTGAGTAATTCCAAATGTAATTCCCCCACTTGGCCAATAATCAAGCCGATGGCACTTATAGTTTAATTGTGGACACGCGTGTGATGAATAAGTAAATATCATCAGATATCATGGCACAAGTAGATGGCAATGTTAAGTACTTTTCTAGATATAGTCAATGTGTTCTTTTCTATACCATGACATTCAGATAGCTAGTATTGCTTTGCTTTTACCTTTAAAAATAATAAATATCTGTTCCAGGTATTGC